GAAGCTAAAGAGCCCCAAGCGCTTTAACCTTTCTTCATAGGAATCCTCCTATGGATTTGAACAAGCCAAAGGGCTAATCAAACAAAGAGTTGTGGATATCGAGTGACAATCTGACATCTCTAAGGCTTCCAAACTCGGGGTGTTGTTAAATAGCAAAAGCACCATTGAGCCAGCTTCATATATTTGACTTCAGTGGAAAGAAAGCATTTGCCCTAGCTAGATGTTCTGCTCTTCCATCTGGGGTTATTCAAGGCAGGTAGAATACTCTGAAAGGCTATGCCCATGCCTTTTAAGCGAGGTGGAATCGGCAGAGCATGTGTTCTTCAGCTGTCCATTTTACAGGGAGGCTTGTCTTAAAATTATTACCCCATTAGCCGATAGGACACCCGGGCACATTAATACAAACAAAGCAAGGCTTCACTGGCTCCCAACAGATAAGAATGCAGAGATTTACACATTCAGTCGCTGAGTTTTGTGCATTCATTGTTAGATTGCGGGAATCACATTTTAAAACTCCTTACATTCAGATTTCTATTTTTGTATATTATGACTGTGGGGGGTTTCCCCCTCTCCCTCACATATTATGCTTACTCTGTATGTTGGTCTTTAAAAAGGTAAAGGTAAAGGTTCCCTTGCTCGAAAGCCAGTCGAATCCGACTCTAGGGTTGCGGTGCTCATCTCCGTTTCAAAGCCGAAGAGCCAGCGCTGTCCGAAGACATTTCCGTGGTCATGTGGCCGACATGACTAAACACCAAGGTGCACGGAACGCTGTTCCCTTCCCACTGAAGGGGTACCTATTTCTCCACTTGCAATTTCTTGCTTTTGAACTGCTAGGTTGGCAGGAGCTAGACCTAGAGATGGGAGCTCACTCCGGTCATGCGGCACACTCGGGTCTCGAACTGCTGAACTACTGACCTTCCACAGCCTGCAGTTCAGCGTCTTAACCACTTGAGCCACCGCAGCTCCTTGAATGTTGGTCTTAAGACCGTAATAATAGCAAATTAAACACGTGGGCCCCAATCCGCTGGAGGAGACACCTCATGAGGAGGCCATTGAGAGTTATTTGGTACTACATCTTTTTTTATTTTTTTTTATTTTTATACAATACACAGTAAACACAATACAACCTAAAAAGCACAACCTAGAAAGGATATGAAGGAACTGTCAAGTGGGTATAATACACATCTTCTAACTGTTACCACTTCATCTAAGACCACAGATATTTTTATCCCTATTTATATAACACAGCATTTTGTGGACCTTTGAGAGTGCCAGTCTTATCGTTGGGGGAAACTAGGATTGAGAACTGTTTACAGGGATATCCATCTGTGGTAGTGTGCGTTTGTTGGACGTACTTCGTGTACTGTCATGTAGTTTATCCCTGGTGCCCAAAACCGTTAAAATTTAGAGTGTTTGTCAGTTTTAAGTGATAGAGATTGCTGACTTTGGTCTGCTAGTTTCTGCCATAACGAATTGTTCCCACAATTTGTCATGCCGCCCCTTGAGCGTTAGCGGGGTGGGGGACTTCCAGGAGACTGCAATAATTAATTTTGCCCTTACGAAGATGAATCTTCCCTCACAACCTTAGGTGCTCTCAGTGTTGTTATCTGACTCAAATGCTGATGGACTGATAACAGCTAATGTGGCACGGTTCCTGGCTAAGGTTGCGGCTCTCAAGAAACATTGAAAACTTTATTATCTCTGTAAACACCTACGTCGACGTTTAATCATAGGAGGATTTTAGTTAGTTGGCTCCGCCCCAAGTGTAGTTAGGTAATTTTTAAATCTCTGGGCTCAGCCTGGGTTTCATATGTTTATTGACTGTGACTATGCACTTGTCATATTCTATGTTAATTTTATGTACCTATTTTACTCTTTTTGCATTCTCTTTTTGGTCAAGACTTTGGTCATATAGACCCGTAATAAATTGAATTGAATTAATTTTGCCATTGCCAAAAGTATTGATGTGAGTTTCTTTGCCTCGTCCTTGACTGGTAATACATCTTTCAGTAAAAGTGTGTGTGTGGGGGGGGTATCCCGAAGGGCCGGGATTTCAGGGAGCCTCTCAACCAGACCTGGCCCCAGCGCTCAGTGGGAAAGAAAGAAGTGAAGAAACCCCGCTTTGGTGCCTGGAGCCCAACACACAATGTGCCCTCACTCCAGTGCCAGGCGCTTCACAGAGACACATACCCCCTTCCTCAGAAGGCCTCTTTATTAACAGTAACTGTAGGGGAGGTCACTTGGCTGTCAGGAAGAACAACACTTCACGAAGCTGCTTCCGGAACTCTAGGGCAGGGTTGTGTCCTGGCCTGGTTCTGTGGCTGCTTAGGAGGCTGCTAGCAGGGAGGCTGAGCAGAGACATATAGGAGTCGTCCTCCTCACTCTCCTGCTTCCTCGAGGCCTACTGGGATAGCCTCTTGAAGAAGGAGTGCACAACACCCATCTCCCCTGAAGCGACTGCAGCCAGGACCAGTGTTCCCACTGAGCCAGTTTGGTGTCGTGGTGAAGTGCGCGGACTCTAATCTGGGAGAAATGGGTTTGATTCCCCCACTCCTCCACTTGCACCTGGCTGGATGACCTTGGGCAAGGTGTAGTTCTCTCAGAGCTGTTCTTGAAAAAAATAGCCATTTCTGTCAGAGCTCTCTCAGCCCTGCCTACCTCATAGGCAATGCTCCCTCTAAGCTGTGGAGTCTTGTGAGCAAAAATCCTACTTTGTGAGCTCCTGGCATTAAAGTTGCAAGCCAGTGATTTGGGTACTGCATAAATTAGTTTCCTCTGGAGCCCTCCTTCCTGAGCTAAGATTAAAATGTGTGAGCCGGAGGCTAAAAAACTGTGAGCTAGCTCACACTAACTCAGCTTAGAGGGAACACTGCTCACAGGGTGTCTGTTTTGGGGAGGGGAAGGGAAAGGAGTTTGTAAGCCGTTCTGGGACTCCCTTGGGTAGTGAAGGGCGGGGTATAAATCCAGTCTCCTCCTCTTCTTCTTTTACCTCACAGGGTGTCTGTTGTGGGGAGGGGAAGGGAAAGGAGTTTGTAAGCTGCTCTGAGACTCCCTTGGATAGTGAAGGGCGGGGTATAAATCCAATCTCTTCTTCTTCTACCTCACAGGGTGTCTGTGGTGGGGAGGGGAAGAGGAAGGAGTCTGTAAGCCGCTCTGAGACACCTTTGGGTAGTGAAGGGCGGGGGATAAATCCAATCTCTTCTTCTTCTACCTCACAGGGTGTCTGTTGTGGGGGAGGGGAAGGGAAAGGAGTTCGTAAGATGCTCTGAGACTCCTCTCGGTAGTGAAGGGCGGGGTATAAATCCAATCTCTTCTCTTCTTCTAAGATAGCGTGAGTTAGCACACAGTTTCTTAGCCTTCAGCTCACACATCTTTGTCTTCGCTCAGGAAGGATGGCTCCAGAGCAAACTAGTTTATGCAGTAGCCAAACTGCTCACTCACAGCTTTAAGGCCAGTTGCTCACAAACTGGAATTTTTGCTCACAAGACTCCACAGTTTAGTGGGAGCATTGGTTGGGGGGGTCAGGAAGGAATTTTTCTCCAGGCTGGATTAGCCCAGGGATCCTGGAGGTTTTCTCCCATCCTCTGGCCATACAGCAGGGGTCACTGGGGGTGGTGGTGGTGTGTTAGCTGTGAACGTCCTGCATTTTGCAGGGAGTAGAGCAGTGTTCCCTCTAAGCCGAGTCACTGTGAGCTAGCTCAGTTTTTCTAGCCTCCGGCTCACGCCTTTTTGCCTTAGCTCAGGAAGGGAGGGCTCCAGAGCAAAATAATTGATGCAGCAGCCAAATCGCTCGCTCTCAAGTTTAACGGCAAGAGCTCACAAACGATCATTTTTGCTCACAAGACTCCACAGCTGTGGGTCATGACTCCTTTGGGGGTCGAACGATCCTTTCACAGGGGTCGCCTTTAAAGATTGACTACCTCTTTCAATAGTCTTTCAGTAGTCATGTATGGCTGCGAGAGTTGGACTATAAGGAAGGCCGAGCGCCGAAGAATAGATTCTTTTGAACTATGGTGCTGGAGAAGACTCTTGAGAGTCCCTTGGACTGCAAGAAGATCAAATCAGTCAATCCTAAAAGAAATCAACCCTGACTGTTCCCTGGAAGGCCAGATAATGAAACTGAAGCTCAAATACTTTGGCCACCAAATGAGAAGGGAGCACTCCCTGGAGAAGACCCTGATGCTGGGAAAGATGGAAGGTCAAAGAAGACCGGGACGGCAAAGGATGAGATGGTTAGACAGTGTCATCGATGCAACGAACATAAAAGTGAGCCAACGTCAGAGGACAGCGGAAGACAGGAGGGCTTGGCGGGATCTGGTCCATGGGGTCGCGAAGACTCGACTGTGCGACTGAACAACAACAACAACAACAATGCTTTAATTATGTTCGATTTGTAACAGTGAAAATACATCCTGCATAGCAGATATTGACATTATGATTCATAACAGGAGCAAAATTACAGTTATGAAGTCGCAACAGAAATAATTTGATGGTTGGGGGTCACCACAACATGTAAAGGTAAAGGTTCCCTTGTCGAGTCCGACTAGGGTTGCGGTGCTCATCTCCGTTTCCAAGCCAAAGAGCCAGCGCTGTCCGAAGACGTTTCCGTGGTCATGTGGCCGGCATGACTAAACACCAAGGTGCAGGGAACGCTGTTACCTTCCCACCAGAGTGGGTCCTACTTATCTACTTGCAATTTCTTGCTTTCAAACTGCTAGGTTGGCAGGAGCTGGAACTAGAGACGGGAGCTCACTCCCTCATGCGGCAACCTGGGTCTTGAACTGCTGAACTACCGACCGTCCACAGCCTGCAGTTCAGCTTCTTAACCACTTGAGCCACCACATGAGGAACTGTATTAAAGGGTTGCGGCATTAGGAAGGTTGAGAACCAGTGGCTTAGAGGGAGCATTGGCCGGGACCCTCCACGCAGGCACACAGGCACACAGGCACACACCCACACCCGGAAGCTGAGAGCGAAGCCACTTTTGCTTTCCTTCCCTGTGTGCTCCGGTCCCGGGTCCCTCCTCTGCAGGCGCCTTTGCTCGCAGGGCTCGACGCTGCGGGGATAAGAACATAAGAACATAAGAGACGCCAATGTTGGATCAGGCCAAAGGCCCATCCAGTCCAACACTCTGTGTCACACAGTGGCCAGAAATACCAGTGCCATCAGGAGGTCCAGCAGTGGGGCCAGGACATTAGAAGCCCTCCCACTGTTGACCCCCCCCCCCAAGCACCAAGAAGACAGAGCATCACTTGCCCCAGAGCCCCTAGCTATACCTTGTGGCTAATAGCCACTGATGGACCTCTGCTCCATATGCTTATCTAATTCCCTTTTGAAGCCGTCCATGCTTGTAGCACCCACCACTTCCTGTGGCAGTGAATTCCATGTGTTAATCACTCTTTGGGTGAAGAAATACTTCCTTTTATCCGTTTTTCATGGAGTGCCCACGGGTTCTTGTATTGTGAGAAAGGGAGAAAAGTACCTCTTTCTTTACCTGCTCTTTCCCATGCATAATCTTATAAACCTCGATCATGTCACCCCTCAGTCGTCTTTTCTCCAAGCTAAAGAGCCCTAAGCGCTTTAACCTTTCCTCATAGGGAAAGTGTTCCAACCCTTTTATCATTCGAGTTGCCCTTTTCTGCACTTTTTCCAAAGCTATAATATCCTTTTTAAGGTGTGGTGCCCAGAACTGCACACAGTATTCCAAATGAGGTCTCACCATTGATTTATATAGGGGCATTATTATATTGGCTGATCTGTTTTCAATACCCTTCCTAATAATCCCCAGCATAGCATTGGCCTTCTTTATTGCAGTCACACACTGTCTCGACATTTTCAGTGAGTTATCCACTACAACTCCAAGATCTCTCTCTTGCTCAGTCTCTGCCAGTTCAGACCCCATCAATGTGTATTTATATTTAGGATTTTTGGCTCCAATGTGCATCACCTTGCACTTGGCCACATTGAACCCCATTTGCCATGTTGACGCCCACTCGCCCATCCTTGACAGATCCCCTTGGAGTGCCTCACAATCCTCACTGGTTTTCACCACCCTGAACAACTTTGTATCATCCGCAAATTTAGCCACTTCACTGCTTACTCCCATCTCCAAATCATTAATGAACAAGTTAAAAAGCAGTGGACCAAGTACTGATCCCTGCGGTACCCCACTGCTTACCACCCTCCACTGAGAAAATTGCCCACCTACACTCACTCTCTGTTTTCTATGAACTAGCCAGTTTTTGATCCATAAAAGGACTTGTCCTTCTATCCCATGATTTTTGAGCTTACTTAGGAGCCTTTGATGAGGAACTTTATCAAAAGCTTTCTGGAAGTCAAGGTAAATAATATCTATTGGATCCCCCTTGTCCACATGTTTGTTCACCCCCTCAAAGAACACTAACAGGTTAGTGAGACAAGATCTTCCCTTACAGAAACCGTGCTGAGTCTGCCTCAATAGGTTTTGTTCATCTATGTGCCTACTAATTCTTTCCTTAATAATGGTTTCCACCAATTTACCCGGTATCGACGTCAGACTGACTGGCCTGTAATTTCCCGGATCTCCTCTGGAACCCTTTTTAAAGATGGGAGTGACATTAGCTACCTTCCAATCCTCAGGAATGGAGGCAGATTTTAAGGAAAGATTACATATCTTTGTCAGGAGATCTACAAGTTCACATTTGAGTTCTTTCAGAACTCTCGGATGTATGCCATCTGGGCCTGGTGATTTTTCAGTTTTTAAGTTGTCTATCAGTTTTAGGACCTCCTCTCTCATCACCTCAATCTGACTCAGGTCTTCCAACACCCCTCCTGAAATCAGTGGTTCTGGAGTGGGCAAGCACTTCTCATCTTCCACAGTGAAGACGGAGGCAAAAAATGCATTTAGCTTCTCAGCCATTTCCCTATCATCCTTCAATACTCCTTTTACCCCTTGGTCGTCCAAGGGCCCCACTGCCTCCCTGGCTGGTTTCCTGTTTCTAATGTATTTGAAGAAAGTTTTATTGTTGGTTTTTACGTTTTTTGCTATATGCTCCTCATATTCCCTTTTTGCCTGCCTGACCTCAGACTTGCATTTTATTTGCCATAGCCTGTGTTCCGTTTTATCAGCCTCACTGTGACTAGCTTTCCACTGCTTAAAGGAATTCTTTTTACTTTTTACAGCCTCCATTACTCTGTTTGTTAACCATGCAGGCTTTTTCCTATACCTGTTTGTGCCTTTCCTAACCTGCGGAATATATATTTTTTGAGCTTCTAGGATCGTAGTTTTAAATAGATCCCAAGCTTCCCCAATTGTTTTGACCCTTTCTACTTTTCCTTTCAGTTTCCTCCCCACGTGTCCCCTCATATCAGAGAAATTACCCCTTTTAAAGTTAAAAATGGTTGTGTGAGTCTTTTTGGCCAATTCTCTATTTGTACAAATGATGAACTCAACAACATTATGATCACTGTTTCCAAGCGGTGCAATCACTTTTACATCTCTCACCAGGTCTTGAGTGTTACTTAGGACCAAATCAAGGATCGCCTCTCCCCTGGTAGGTTCCGTGACCATCTGCTCCATAGCACAGTCATTTAGAGTGTCTAGAAACTCAATCTCTTTTTCCCGACTAGAACACATATTGACCCAATCAATGTGTGGGTAGTTAAAATCACCTATTATTACACAGTGTTTTTGTCTAGTTGCTATCTTTAAGGCATTCATCATTTTATAATCCTCCTCTATCTTTTGATCTGGTGGGCGATAACAAACTCCCAGTGTTAAGTTTCCTTTTGGCCCCCCTATTTCAACCCATAGAACTTCCAGAAGCGAATCCAATTCACTTAGCCTCTCAATCTTTCTAGACTTTATACCCTCTCTGACATACAGAGCTACCCCACCTCCAACCCTTCCCCCCCTATCCTTCCGATATAATATATAACCGGGAATCACTGTGTCCCACTGATTTTCCTCATCCCACCAAGTTTCAGAAATACCCACAATGTCTATTTTTCCCTCCGACACCAAGCACTCCAACTCCCCGATTTTACCTCGGACACTTCTAGCATTTGTATAGAAACAGCTGTAATTTCCCTTACAAGTTAAGCCTGCATCCTTCCTCTTGCTATCTCGAGTCGTTGTCCGGCAGTCCATGTCACCAGCCATGGCCTCTGTGGACAATTTCAATCCACCTCCCTGTAGAAAAGCAACCGGTACCCCCTCACCTCTCTCAGATGAGCCAACCCGAACCAGAGACTTTTCATCTCCTGTCGGCTTTCCCCCAATATTCAGTTTAAAAGCTGCTCTGCCACCTTTTTGATTTTAAGTGCCAGCAGCCTGGTTCCTTCTCGGGACAAGTGGAGACCGTCTCGCCTGTACAGCTCCCTCTTGTTCCAAAAAGTATCCCAGTGCCTAACAAACCTGAACCCTTCCCCCCTACACCATCGTCTCATCCACGCATTGAGACTCCTGATCTCTGCCTGTCTCTCCGGCCCTGCGCGTGGAACAGGTAACACTTCTGAGAAGGCTACCTTGGAGGTCCTGGACCTAAGTTTCCTGCCCAGCAGCCTAAATTTCTCCTCCAGGACCTCACGACTGCATTTCCCCACATCGTTGGTGCCGACATGCACCACGACCACTGGCTCCTCCCCAGCACTATCTACCAGCCTATCTAAAACACGCGTAATGTCCGCTACCTTCGCACCAGGCAGGCAAGTCACCATACGGTCAGTACGCGGGTTCGCCACCCAGCTGTCTACCTGCCTAAGGATCGAATCACCCACTACCAAGAGCCCCCCTCCCACCCTGCTCAGGGATGGTTCCTTGGTGCAAAAGGAGAGCCGCTCACCAGCTGGGGAAGAGGTCCCTTCTGAGGGCACATTCCCCTTATCCTCAGCATGGTGCCCTGTTTCCCCTAGACCCTCATGCTCCCTGACAGCAGCGGGGCTGCCAGATCCAGAGTGGGACGAAGCTAACAAGTCCCCGAGAGTCTTTTCTGTGTGCCTAGCTGACTGTCTCTGCTTCTCCAGGTCAGCCACCTTGGCCTCAAGGGAGCACACACGTTCCCTGAGAACCAGGAGCTCCTTGCACCGAGGACACACCCAAGACTTCTGCCCAGTGGGCAGATAGTCATACATGTGACACTCCGTGCAAAACACTGGATAGCCCCCAACCCCCTGCTGGCATTCTGGCTTCATAATTCTTTTAAAATAAATAAATATAATCCCCCTTTTAAACCCTTGGTATTTATGTGGGTTTTGTTATCAAGTCAAATTATTTTACGGGAAAGACAAAGAGCCTGGCTCTTTTTGGGCAAGGTGCTTCCTTAAATAGAGGCCTCCCCCAGCAGAGGTCAGGCAGCAGCTATTCAAATTCACCCAGGCACTCAATCACAGGCAAAACAATGCCCCTTCCACTTCCTCTCAATTACAGGCAATCCCAGTCAAACAATGCCCGTTCCTCTCCCACACTCAATCAGCCAGGACTCTGCAAGAACTCTAAGTGCTTCCACACACTGCTAAACACAGTTTTCCCACAAAATATCCTTAGCTGAATTCTCTCAGCTGAAAGCAAGTAAAAGAAACCCACTCACCTCTCTCACAGCTCTCTCTCCTGCTCCTGCTCAGAGCTCAGATGGTAGAAGATGGGCGCCCTCGAGGGGCTGCTGTTCCTGGGGGGAGTCGCCCCCCTGCTGGGTGAGTGGAGATTGGGGCGGGCCGGGAGGGAGGGAGGGAGGGGAGAGGAGGGGCGGGGCGTCCCCCCCCCGCTCCTCCTTTGCAGCGCCCGTCGGAAGGGGCAGGCTCATCTTCCCCCTGGTTGGGGGTTCCTGCGCGCAAAGTTCCCCCTGCGAACGCAGCGGCAGCGACGGCCGGGCGGGGACCCTCGGAGGGCGCGCGGGAGGGGGGGTCTTCCCGGTCGCTCTGCCCTCCCCCTCGGATCAGCCCCGCTCCTCTCCGGGAGGGAACCCTCGGAACAGTCCAACAGCGTGCAGGGGCAGCCGAGGAGCGGGGCCGTTCTCGGGTTTGGATGCCCAGACGGCGCAAACGGGTATTTGGGGGGTGGGGTGGGGTGCAATGTTCCCTCTGAGCTGTGGAGTCTTGTGAGCAAAAATTCTACTTTGTGAGCTCCGGGCAGGGCCGGATTGAGACTTGCTGAGGCCCTAAGCTATACAAACCCCAGAGGCCCCCTACTGTTTTAAATTACATCAGCTGGTCTCAGAAAAATTTAAAATATATACGCCTTTTTAATATTTGAAATCATTTTTTATATTGCGTTTTTATTTGAGGCCCCAGCAGATTGCGAGGCCCTAAGCTGTAGCTTATTTAGCTTATGCGTAAATCCGGCACTGGCTCCCGGCATTCAAGTGGTGAGCGAGCGATTTGGCTACGGCATCAATTCGTTTGCTCCGGAGCCCCATCCCTTCCTGAGCTGAGACAAAAATGTGTGAGCCAGAGGCTAAAAAACTGTGAGCTAGCTCACACTGACTCAGCTTAGAGGGAACACTGGTGGGGTGGGGTGTTTTTTTTGGGGGGGTAGTGGGGCGACCAATGCTCCCTCTAAGCCGTGGAGGCTTGTGAGCAAACATTCTACATTGTGAGCCCCCTTGGCAGTCAGGTGTGGCTGCTGCATCAATTCGTTTGCCCCTGAGCGAAGACAAAACTCTGTGAGCTGGAGAGGCTAAAGCACCATAAGCTAGCTCACACAAACTCAGCTTAGAGGGAACACTGGGGGCGACCCAGCCAAGGCCGAGGAACGAAGGCGCGGATCAAGAAGAGAAGAAGAAGACGACGAGATTGGGTTTATACCCCCCCAAGGCGTCTCAGAGCAGTTCCACTCCCCACAACAGACACCCTGTGAGGTAGAAGAAGAAGTAGAAGAGATTGGATTTATACCCTGCCCTTCACTACCCAGAGGAGTCTCAGAGCGGCTTACAAACTCCTTTCCCTCCCCCTCCCCCTCCCCACAACAGACACCCTGTGAGGTCGGTGGGGGTGAGAGAGCTCTTTTGAGGACTGCTCTTGAGAGAACAGCTCTTGTCAGAACTATGACTTGCCCAAGGTCATCCAGCAGGTGTAAGTGGAGGAGTGGGGAATCAAACCCCAGTTCTCCCAGATTAGAGTCTGCGGACTTAACCACTACTCCAAAAGCCACCCCTTCCACCCCCCAAACTGAAATAAGTTAAATATACTTTCAGAAAAGATCAGTAGACTTCGGAATGTCCCTTTTGTATTGGGGGGGGGGGAAAGGAAGCGCATTTAGAGGCGTGGGCCCCGTCTGTAGGGAAACATTATAAATGCAAATATTCCTTTGTGAAAGATAAAAACAACACCTGGAAGGAAGATATTGAAAGCGTAGCTGCATTGCGCGTGACCTCTTTGGCCTGGGGCCAGGCAGCCAGGTGCTTTGGCGAGACCGCAGCCTTAGCTGTTCTGCTGCTGATTATCAGCCAGTAGAGAGACTGTGGAAAGTCTCCAAAGTCCCCGCTGGTGGATTTCTTTCACTTTTTTTAAAGGATGTGTAAGCGAAATCCTGCAAGACCACGGCAGAGTCTGTAGCTGGCTGGCACCTCTAATGGTTTCCTATTGCAATGTGGTTTGAATTGGAAGCACGGTCTGCTTGGGACTACATCGTAACAGAGTTATTATTTATTTATTTATTATTCAAATGTATATCCCGCCCTCCCCAACGGGCTCAGGGCAGCTAACAATAAGGGCACAAAGCCATAATAAAACAGTTAACAGCAGAATACAACAATACAAAATTACAATAAAGTGCTGGCGCTCTGAAAGATCATAATTCCAAGATGGGTTCTGGAAGACGGACCCAGAACAACGAAGCAAGTTCCAAGACAACGCTGCCCTCTGATCTTCAGCCCAGGGCCATCACGCACCCCAATGGCAGCCCGCACTTTGCGCTAGCGGTGCAGAGGTGGTACAGTGGCAGCGGCGGCTCCTACTCGAAAGCCTGGCGGAAGAGCTCCGTCTTGCAGGCCCTGTGGAACTGCAAAAGGTCCCGCAGGGCCCGGATCTCCTCCGGGAGCTCATTCCACCAGGTAGGAGTCGCCACCGAAAAGGCCCTGGCCCCGGTCACAGCGAATTTGATGTCCCTGGGGTAACCAAAAGATGTTGGGCCCCCGATCGTAGTGCCCTTGGGGGAACAGGGAACAGTGCCCTTGGGGGAACAGTTACCAGGAGACAGATTTAATGGTGGTCCAAAAGGGGGTTTGGGGTTGTCCTTGGTTATTGCCACCCACACACACACACCAACTCCGTCCTCCTTCCCTTCCCAGGCGCCTCTTCTTTGCACGCCCTCCACTATTTCAAGACGGCCGTCTGGGAGAGGGGCAGGCAGATACCCCAGTACACCTCCTTGGCATTCATCGACGACCAGCTCATCTCTCGATATGACAGAGACATCGGGCAGTGCGTGCCTCAGTCGTCCTGGAAAGAGGAGATCAGCCGGGACCACACCAACTTCTGGACCAGGAGCACGAGGAGGGACTTTGCCTCCATCGTCATCATGGATCTGATGGTTCTGAAGAACCTTTACAACCAGAGCAGGGGTGAGTGGAGGGCGGGAGGGGGAGGCACAGACAACATCCTCCTCACCTTCTTTCTCAGAGAAGTGGGAGAACATAAGAAAAAGTCAATGTTGGGTCAGGCCAAAGGCCCATCCAGTCCAACACTCTGTGTCACACAGTGGCCAAAAACACCGGGTGCCATCAGGAGGTCCAGCAGTGGGGCCAGGACACTGGAAGCCTTCCCACTGTTGGTCCCCCTCCAAGCACCAAACAGAGCATCACTTGCCCCAGACTGAGAGTTCCTAAGAACATAAGGGAAGCCAATGTTGGATCAGGCCAAAGGCCCATCCAGTCCAACACTCTGTGTCACACAGTGGCCAAAAATACCAGGTGCCATCAGGAGGTCCACCAGTGGGGCCAGGACACCAGAACCCCCCCTCCCATTTGCCCCCCCCAAACACCAAGAATACAGATTATTGCTTGCCCCAGACCGAGAGTTTCTAAGAACATAAGGGAAGCCAATGTTGGATCAGGCCAAAGGCCCATCCAGTCCAACACTGTGTCACACAGTGGCCAAAAACACCGGATGCCATCAGGAGGTCCAGCAGTGGGCCCAGGACACTAGGAGCCCCTCCCACTGTTGGCCCCCCTCCAAGCACCAAGAATACAGAGGATCACTTGCTCCAGACCGAGAGTTCCTAAGAACATAAGAGATGCCAATGATGGATCAGGCCAATGGCCCGTCCAGTCCAACACTCTGTATCACACAGTGGCCAAAAATACCAGGTGCCATCAGGAGGTCCAGCAGTGGGGCCAGGACACTAGGAGCCCTCCCACTGTTGCCCCCCCCCCCAAGCACCAAGAAGACAGAGCATCCCTTGCCCCAGACCGAGAGTTCCTATCTATATGTAATGGCTAATAGCCACTGATTGACTTCTGCTCCATATGTTTATTTTATTTATTTATTTTACTTTATTAAATTTATGCCCCGCCCTCCCCGTGAGCAGGCTCAGTGTGGGGAGGGTGGGTAGTAAATTCCATGTGTTCATCACTCTTGGTGAAGAGGGAATTCCTTTTATCCGTTCTAACCCGACCGCTCAGCAATTTCATGGAGTGCCCACCTGAGTTCTTGTATTGTGAGAAAGGGAACACGTGATCTGGCCTTCTTGTACCTGCTCTATCCCATGCATCTCTCCTTATATATAATTGAATAGTGGGTGCCAAAGTTCTAATTCTAAAATGCACTTCCTTAGTGTATGGCTGATGGCACTGCTCCTCAGCATATATCGCCACCAATCAGAAGGCAAAGCCCGGGTCCCGCCCACACCACAACTGCTGCGACAACCTGGTCTTTTGCATATGGAAGCTGATTGGACTTCACTCCATTCCACACCTCAAACTCCCCCCCCCCACAAGGCATTTGGAATGTCAGTTGCATATGGAACCTGCTGTATTCTGGTGGTGTGCAGGCCCCAGGTTCATGTTTTAAAAGCAGACTGACACTGTTTGCCCAAAGCCAGAGCACTCTCCCAGAGCCTCTTTCTAGATCCCGTTGTATTTATTTCCACAACGGGCCTTATTTCTAGTAATCTTATAAACCTCAATCATGTCACCCCTCAGCCATCATTTCTCCAAGCTAAAGAGCCCTAAGCGCCTTAACCTTTCCTCATAGGGGAAGTGTTCCAAGCCTTTGATCATTCGAGTTGCCCTTTTCTGCACTTTTTCTAATGCTATAATCTCCTCTTTGAGGTGTGGTGACCAGAGGACTCCAAATGAGGTCGGACCATTGATTTATACAGAGGTTGACAGGCACCCTGAGGGGACGGATGAATCCCGCCCCCCTGCTTTTTACCTCAGCATTTCACGTCCTCCTTCCTGCAACTTTTACAACTGTCACAGGAGAAGTCTGGAGGGGAGATTACCTATTTACAGAATTTGTGCCTCACCTTTCTGCCCCGCCCCCTCAGCGATAGACTTGCTCCTTCACGGAGGGGGGGCCCTGCTAGGAGAGGCTGACCCCTGAGTCCTTGGGCACCTTCTCCGTAGCAACTCAGTCGTGTCTGGATTGAGCTTCAGTTTATTCGCCCTCATCTATCCCATGGCCTTCGCCAGGCAAGACACAGAGAGTGATTAAAATGTGGGATTCGCTGTTAGATAGCCACAGGCACATAAAGGTCTCAGAGAGGATCCTCAGGGATCCTCTCTCATGGAGGAGGGGATCTCTCTGTGGCTACTCGCCATGGTGGCTGAGGGGAACCTCCGCATTAGTAGGCACTGAACCTCAATCCCAGAGCCAGGAGGCCATGTTGTTGGATCTCCAGAGGAACTGGCTGGCCACTTCGTGAGACAAGATGGTGGGCTAGATGGACCCTCACTGGTCTGATCCGGCCTTCTGATGTTCTTAGGACTTCCACAGACCCCCCCCCCCCTGGACCCGCTGTTAAGGAGACACAGAGCTGGGCATCATCTGCATATTGGGGGCACCTCAGTCCATATCCCCAGTCTCTCCCAGTGTTTTCATGTAGAAGTTAAACAGGAACAGGGGGAAAGAGGGAACCCTGCCTGACCCCACGGCAGACCCCCAGCAGCAGTCCCCCCAATCCCCACACCCCCGGGGTCGGCCAGTCAAGTAAGAGCCGGTTTGGTGTAGTGGTTAAGTGCGCGGACTCTAATCTGGGAGAACCGAGCTTGATTCCCCACTCCTCCACTGGCACCTGCTGGATGACCTCGGGCAAGCCGTAGTCCTGTCAGAGCTGTTCTCTGAAGGGCAGTTATCGAAAGAGCTCTCTCAGCCCCGCCTACCTCACAGGGCGTCTGTTGTGGGGAGCGGAAGGGAAAGGTGTTTGTAAGCTGCTCTGAGACTCCCTTGGGTAGTGAAGGGCGGGGTATAAATCCAATCTCCTCCTCCTCCTCTAAGAGTCGAACCACTGGAACACGGTGGATGCCCCCCCCCCCACTCTGAACTTGGCCAATGTCTCCAGAAGGTTATCACGTTCGATCCAGGGCATCAACCCACTCGTTGCCTCAAGCGGGGCCCCCCGAATCAAGTCCCTTACACTAGACCTCCCTCCAGGAGGTCCAGTGGAGTTTGGGCTCCCCCAAGAACTCCTCTAAAACAACGAAGAGCCGGCGGTACTCAGGAACCCTGCCTGACCCCACAGCAGACCCCCAGCAGCAGTCGCCCAATCCCCACACCCCTGGGGTTGGCCAGTCAACGCCACGGTCCCGCCTCCCAGAAGGATATCGTGTTCGATGGTACTGAAAGCTGCTGAGGGGTCTTCAGGAAATCAAGAGAAACTCCCAAAAAATGTGTTCGGTTTTTGTCAGGAAGCTCTTCATACGTAACCCCGTCTCTGTGTGTCTTCTCTAGGCATTCACACCCTGCAGGTGTTCTCCGGCTGCGAAGAGAGCGGGGACAATCGTACCCCCAGAGGGTTTGCGAAGTACGGCTACAACGGGAGGGACTTCCTCAGTCTGGACCTGGCGACTCTCACCTGGACCGCACTGAGTGCAGAGGCCAATCTCATCAAGAGGAAATGGGACGCTGAGAGGGACCGAGGGGAACTCTGGGAGCGTTTCCTGGCTGAGACTTGCGTGGAGTGGCTCCACACGCACCTGCGCTACGGAAAAGAGGCTTTGCTGAGGATTGGTGAGGAGGGCGAACGGGGTGGCTGGGGGGAGTCGGGGAGAGGGTTATTTTGCATCCCCCCCCCTCACATCTGAAGAGCCGGCTCATACTTGAAGCAGACGGAAGTGGTGGAATGCAGGGTGGCACCGCTTCAGTTTGGTGTAGTGGTTAAGTGTGCGGACTCTAATCTGGGAGAACCGGGTTTGATTCCCCACTCCTCCACATGCAGCTGCTGGTGTGACCTCGGGTCAGTCACAAGCTCTGGCACAGCTGTCCTTGAAAAAGAGCAGTTTGTGTCAGAGCTCTCTCAGCCCCGCCTATCTCACAAGGGTGTCTGTTGTGGGGAGGGGAAGGGAAAGGAGTCTGTAAGCCGCTCTGAGACTCCAAGTGAAGGGCGGGGTATAAATCCAATCTCTTCTTCTTCTTCTGACGTCTGGTGGCCACAGTGTTCCCTCCAAGCTGAGTTAGTGTGAGCCAGCTCACAGTTTTTTAGCCTCCGGCTCAAGCATTTTTGTCTTAGCTCAGGAAGGGTGGCTCCCGAGCGAACTAATTGATGCAGCAGCCCAATCGCCCGCTCACAACTCTTTAATGCCAGTGGCTCACAAAGTAGAATTTTGGCTCACAGGACTCCACAGCTTAGAGGGAGCATTGCGGTGGGGGAAGAGGACGGTTTTGACTGCCGTCAGTTTACCTGTAATAGAGTCTGCTTATCGATCGCCTCCCCCACCCCGCAGTCTTTTGGAGAAGGTGGAAGTTCAGACCACCAGGCGGGTCTCTTTGTGGGAGACAAGGTGAGGGCCGCTGGGGAATTCCTGTCTGTGGAGTTTTTCATCTCTTTGGAATGGCAGAGGGGTGTGTGCCCGCCATCTCAGAGCCAGTTTGGTGCAGTGGTTAAGTGCGCAGACTCTAATCTGGGAGAACCGGGTTTGATTCCCCACTCCTCCACTCACAGCTGCTGGATGACCTTGGGCAAGCTCTAGTTCTGATAAGAGCTGTTCTTGAAAAAGAGCCGTTTCTGTCAAGAGCTCTCTCAGCCGCACCTACCTCACAGGGTGTCTGTTGTGGGGAGGGGAAGGGAAAGGAGTTTGTGAGCCGCTCTGAGACACCTTTGGGTAGTGAAGGGCGGGGTTATAAATCCAATCTCCTCTCCTCCTCCTCAGGACAGGGGGCCCCAGTCTGAGGGGTATGTGGACCCCCAAGTCCAACTTTACTTGGTGTGGTGACCAGTGTTCCCTCTAAGCTGAGTTAGTGTGAGCTAGCTTGCCGTTTTTAGCCTCCAGCTCACACATTTTTGTCTTCGCTCAGGAAGGATGTGGCTCCAGAACAGACTAACTTACGCAGGAGCCAAATCGCCCGCTCACAACTTTAATGTCAGTGGCTCACAAAGTAGTATTTTTGCTCACAGGACTCCACAGCTTAGAGGGAGCATTGCGGTGGGGGAAGAGGACGGTTTTGACTGCCGTCAGTTTACCTGTAATAGAGTCTGCTTATTGATCGCCTTTCAGCTAAAGCTCCCTGGAGACGGTTTACAGCATGGCTTACTGCATCTTTATTTTATTTGAACTCTAGTAAAATGAATAAAATGCAGTGATCTGTACACCTCCCCGCAAGCAGAAAACTAGGAAGTCAGGGAGATGACTGGAACACAGCCTTTTTTCATCATGGCACCTCCTCTTGCTGTACGAGAGAGAGAGAGAGAGATTGGATTTATACCCTGCCCTTCACTGAGAATCTCAGAGTGGCTTACAAACTCCTTTCCCTTCCCCTCCCCACCACAGACACCCTGTGAGGTAGGTGGGGCTGAGAGAGCTCTTGACAGAAACTGCTCTTTTCCAAGAACAGCTCTTATCAGAACTACGGCTTGCCCAAGGTCCTCCAGCCAGGTGCAAGTGGAGGAGTGGGGAGTCAAACTCAGTTCTCTGCGCACTTAACCACTACACCAAACTGGCTCCTGGGGGCCCTGTGGCCATTGGCTCTGCAACCCAAGGGTTGGGCAACACTCAACTGCCCACGAGCCCCATTTCTGTGGCTCACACTCAGCATCTCTCCTGCCAGAATGGGAGCCAAACCTGTTTGTTTTTTTGCAGATCCACCGAGGGGACGTGTGGCCCGTAAGGCAGGGTCAGACGGCCTGGAGACCCTCGTCTGCCAACTCCGCGGCTTCTACCCCAAGGAGATCGCAGTCACTTGGAGGAAGGGCGGGGAGGTCTGGCACCAGGACACCTCCCACGGGGGTGTCCTCCCCAACTCGGACGGGACCTACCACACCTGGCTGAGCATCAAGGTCGACCCCAAGGAGAAGGACCGTTTCCGGTGCCACGTGGAACACGACGGCCTGCCGGAGCCCCTGGACATGGCCTGGGAGGAGCCGGGTGAGAGACTGAAGGGGGGGGGAAGGCGGGCCCCTTTTAGGGGAAGATGGCTGACTCTGAAGGAAGGACAAAGTGAGAGCAGAACTTTCTACCAGATTCCCAGGGAAGGAGGAGGAGAATATAGCCACTTAAGGGGGGGGGGGCATGTACTTGGAACCAGTGTTCCCTCTAAGCTGAGTTAGTGTGAGCCAGCTCACAGTTTTGTAGGCCTCCAGCTCACACATTTTTGACTTGGCTCAGGAAGGGACGGCTCTGGAGCAAACTAATTGATGCAGCAGCCAAATGGCTCGCTCACAACTTCCATGCCAGTAGCTCACAAAGTAGAATTTTTGCTCACGAGACTCCACAGCTTAAAGGGAGCATTGGTCTGGAGGCGGGTTGTAGTTCTGGGAGAACCTCAGGCCCGACCTGTTAGGCACCAGTTTTGGACCGCCCTATAATCAGAATTTGTTTTGGGGCGGGGCGTGATAATCAGTGTTTTTCTGTACAAGAAAGGTGAAACCAGCAACACTGTTGTTCTCTTGCTGGTCGCTTTAATCTCCAAACAAACAAACAAAAAGCAGAGGCCTTTTTCAGGTAGTTCAGTAAGAACGGACTTAGGGGGGAAAGGAACTCCTCCCTGTATTGGAATCAACCACAGTCCTCCTACCCCCTAGGCCAGCATGCCCTCTAAGCTGCGTTAGTGTGAGCTAGCTCACAGTTTTATAGGCCTCCAGCTCACACATTTTTGTCTCAGCTCAGGAAGGGATGGCTCCGGGGCAAACTAGTCTATGCAGCACCCAAATGGCTCGCTCACAACTTTCATGCCAGTCTTTCACAAAGTAGAATTTTTGCTCACGAGACTCCACAGCTTAGAGGGAGCATTGCTTGGAACCAGTGTTCCCTCTAAGATGAGTTAGTGTGAGCCGGCTCATAGTTTTTTAGCCTCCGGCTCACACATCTTTGTCTTTGCTCAGGAAAGAGGGCTCCAGAGCCAACTAATTTCTGTGGTAGCCAATTCGCTGGCTCACCACTTTAAAACCAGCAGCTCACAAAGTAGAATTTTCGCTCACAAGACTCCGTAGCTTAGAGGGAGCATTTGCTTGGAACCCCAGATTATTGTGCTGACTTGGAGGGGGGGGACCCCTGGCAGGCGCCCCCTGCTTTCTGCAGACTCGCTTCCCACAGGAAATCAAAGGAGCTTGCAAGGAAGTGCATTAAGGTATGCAACCAAATACAGGCACGGGGCAGTCCACATGCAGCAACCGCGAGGAGGCCTTTTCAAATCCGCCACGCAAGCTTGATACAGATGGACAGTATGGGATAGTGGTTAGTGTCGGCTCTGGGGTTGTACTCGTGCTTGGGCCATTGTCAAAAGATGGGTGTTTTTCCCCCCCTGCTCGCCACATCCTTGTGAGGCTGATTTGATTCCCCGTCTCCACCTCCGGGAACCTGGAACAAAAATCCCCTTCTGATAGTTTGACCGAGACTGGGTTTGGACTGTCCCCCTACGGAGTAGAACACACCGGTAGAAGCAACAGGATTTACAGAAAGAAATCGAAAAGTGGTTCAGACTGACACGTGAGCCGTAGAGATTGGATCTTAGCTCTAACAGCAGCGTTCGACACGGTTGATTATGAACGTACGACCCAGTGCGTCAGCGATGTGGAGAGACGTGGCACAGCTTTACAGTGGCTGGTATCATTTCTCCACGGTCAGGGACAGAGGGTGGCGCTGGGGGAGAGGACATCAGCGCGTTTACCCACTGGTATGTGGCACTCCTTGGGAGTGATCCTCTCCCCAGCGCTGCATTCCTTGCGTTTCATGACGCTGCTGCTAAGAGGCCATGAAAGCAAACAGAGCCAGTTTGGTGTAGTGGTTAAGTGCGCGGACTCTGATCTGGGAGAACCGGGTTTGATTCCCCCACTCCTCCACTTGCACCTGGCTGGATGACCTTGGGCAAGCCCTAGTTCTGATAAGAGCCGTTCTTGAAAAAGAGCTGTTTCTGTCAGAGCTCTCCCAGCCCCACCTACCTCACAGGGTGTCTGTTGTGGGGAGGGGAAGGGAAAGGAGTTTGTAAGTTTGATTCCCCACTCCTCCACTTGCACCTGGCTGGATGACCTTGGGCAAGCCATAGTTCTGATAAGAGCCGTTCTTGAAAAAGAGCAGTTTCTGTCAAGAGCTCTCTCAGCGCCACCGACCTCACAGGGTGTCTGTTGTGGGGAGGGGAAGGGAAAGGAGTTTGTAAGTTTGATTCCCCACTCCTCCCCTTGCACCTGGCTGGATGAGCTTGGGTCAGGCACAAGTTCTCTCAGAACTGTTCTCTCAAGGGCAGTTTCTGTCAGAGCTTTCTCAGCCCCACCAACCTCACAGGGTGTCTGTTGTGGGGAGGGGAAGGGAAAAGGAGTTTGTAAGTTTGATTCCCCACTCCTCCCCTTGCACCTGGCTGGATGACCTTGGGTCAGGCACAAGTTCTTCTTCTTCTTCGCAAAGATTTTGCCCCTTTCTCCATTTTAGCCTCCTCCTGCCTTGTATCTGTCTGTGTGTGTGGGGGGGGGGTTACCTTCAGGGAAGAAATTCCCTCCCCAGGGAGGGAGGCCCACCACCGCACCCTCCCTACCTATGGCCACCATGCAAGCTGGGTTTGGTGATTTTAAGAAGAAGAAGAGATTGGATGTATACCCCGCCCTTCACTTGGAGTCCCAGAGCAGTTTACAAACTCCTTCCCCTCCCCACAACAGACACCCTGTGAGGGAGGCGGGGCTGAGAGGGCCCTCTCTCAAGGACTGCCCTTGACAGACCAGCTCTGAGAGAACTTGTGACTGACCCAAGGTCACACCAGCAGCTGCAATTGGAGGTGTGGGGAATCAAACCCGGTTCTCCCAGATTAGAGTCCACACACTCAACCACTACGCCAAACTGGCTCTGTTTGCTTTCATGACCTCTTAGCAGCCGCGTCCCACGTTCTGCACGCAGGAGGTCCCAGGCTCACCACCACGGTTTCTGCTACCTCGCAGATATGGGGTCCATCTGAGTAGACGCATTTCGTTTTTGTTTTTCTCATTTCAGACTCTGCATCCAACGTGGGGCTCATTGTGGGCGTCGTCCTGGGGGTCGTGGTGGCTGTCGTCCTGGTGGGGGCCGGGGTCACCTTCTACATCAGTAAATAAACCAGGGATGTGTTGGGGGGGGGGTCGAGTGAAAGGGCGTCTCGGAGCCACAGACTAGGAAATGACCATCTCCTGCCTGCAGATACTCCTTTGCTCTATGACCCAGGAAATCTTCTCGATGACAACTTGTAGAGGGTTGCCCCAAAAAGACTGTAAGACCAATGGGGGACGGTGGGCTCCAGAGCCCTGCTCTAGCCCGGGGGGCGGTGCTGGATGCTCTCTGGAGGACCCTTCGAATCCCGATGCTCTGATTCTGTCTCTGCAGGAAGACGACAAGAAGACAGCTACCAAGGAGCACCGAGTGAGTGATTTCCCCCCTCCCCTCGTTGAACTATTGCCTTGATGCCAGGGTGTGGGGGAGACGGCTGCTGTGCCCGGGTATCAGGCTGGCTGTGAAATCTCATAGAGAAGCTGCCCACCACCACCCCTCCCTGGCCAAAGTGATCTGGAAGGAGATGCACTTTCTGTGGCCCATGCAGCCAGCCAGCTGCCAGCCTGAGGGACTCGCTCTGAGAAGCAGCACGCAGCTGTCGAAAGGAAGGGAGATTTCCATGTTAGATTCCACCATGTAAGGGGGTGTGTGGAAAAGGGGTTGGGGGGAGATTGGACCACCCACCTCTCCAGGGAGAGATCCTGACCCCCTTCCTTCTTTCCCCTTCTGCAGCAAGGGACCAGGGATCAGACAGCTCTGTCAGTGGTAAGTGGGGGGTGGGGGGGAATGGAAGAGAAGGGGGGGAAATGGAAAGGGGGTTGGGAAGGCTTTTGCTTTCTTGTGGGAAAAGCCTCGAGGCTTGCAATATAGTCTCAGTCCTTGCATGAGAACAGTTTCTCGGCCCACCCACCCCCCCCCCATTTGATCAAACTCTCATTGGAAATCATGGAAAGGCTGTGCGATTTGGATCTGGTGAGGCAAGTGCGGCTGGACTCACTTCCTTGAGCCACCGTCCAGAGCTGCTGAGTCTGTGGGCCCCTCTCATTGGGCATCTTCTCACTCCCAGTGAGAATCCACCAAAGTGGGTTTTTGGTGGCCAGTCGGGTGGTGTGGTGAAGTGCGCGGACTCTGATCTGGGAGAACCGGGTTTGATTCCCCCACTCCTCCACTTGCACCCGCTGGATGACCTTGGGCAAGCCGTAGCTCTGGCACAGCTGATCTTGGAAAAGAGCAGTTTCTGTCAGAGCTCTCTCAGCCCCACCCACCTCACAGGCAACGTTCCCTCTAAGGTGTGGAGTCTTGTGAGCAAAAGTTCTACTTTCTGAGCGACTGGCATTAAAGTTGTGAGGGAGCAATTTGGCTACTCCATAAATTAGTTTGCTCTGGGGCAAAAGTTCTACTTTCTGAGCGACTGGCATTAAAGTTGTGAGGGAGCGATTTGGCTACTCCATAAATTAGTTTGCTCTGGAGCCCTCCTTCCTGAGCCAAGACAAAAATGTGTGAGCCGGAGGCTAAAAAACTGAACTGGCTCACACCAACTCAGCTTAGAGGGAACACTGCTCACAGGGTGTCTGTTGTGGGGAGGGGAGGGGAAAGGAGTTTGTAAGCCGCTCTGAGACTCCGAGTGAAGGGCGGGGTATAAATCAATATTCTCCTCCTCCTCCTCTGAGCTAGTGGCCTTGATTTGTAGGGGGCTGGCAGAGGGGCAGGTGGGCCTATCTCCAAGTGGAAGATCGATCTGGATAGCTTCTTCATTCCTGTCAGGTGATTCTACCTGCCTCCCCCATGTTCACACTGCCAGCTGGGAACTTCACTCTCTCCCCCTCTTTGGTTTCTGCAGCCTGATTTCCCATTGGCGTGTGAGAGGAACCAGAAGGGAACCCATCCGGATCTTCCCAAGAACGCAGGACCCTCGTGAGCTGTGGCCCATCTTTAGCACCCCCTGTTATGTTGCCTGTTTCTGTACTAGTCGGCAGAACTGTTTCTTGAGGGCGGGACAGTCTCTTTCTGACGGACCTGTCTTTCTCCTTCCTCGGGCCTTGAGATGGGAAATTCCCCCCTTGTTTCTTCTAAGTCGCTGCAGCTGCTGTGGAGCATAAATGCCTGGCCAGTGCGATCGCCCTTTTCGGTTTCTGAGGATGTGTGAAAACCTCTGGGGGTTTGCCAAAGTTTGGAAATCCGAGTTCAGGCCTTTAAAGAGGGATTGTTTTAGTAACATTAAGGCGGTCTGTGTGAGTTATTAATTTTAACTACTGCAAAAATCCCATGACACTGGAAGCGTTAGAAGAACTTGGAATTCTGTGATTTTGAAAATGGCTGCTAATATAGTAATATGAATAATCAGCTTGATCGAGCCAGTTTTGACTTTTGAAAGTGTTTGTACGGTTTGTATCGTATAATTTCTTGGTTTTCTTTGCATAGAAATTATAGGGTGGTATTTTTCCCCCTTTGTATCTTGTTATCTATCTTCTATAGTCAGGGGCATAGCCACAGTGGGGCACATAGGGGCACGTGCCCCATCACTCGTTTGGTGTAGTGGTTTTTGGTGGCCAGTTTGGTGTCGTGGTTAAGTGCGCGGACTCTAATCTGGGAGAACCGGGTTTGATTTCCCCAGTCCTCCACTTGCACCTGGCTGGATGACCTTGGGCAAGCCGTAGTTCTGATAAGAGCTGTTCTTGAAAAAAGAGCAGATTCTGTCAGAGCTCTCTCAGCCCCACCCGCCTTATACAGGGTGTCTGTTGTGGGGAGGGGAGGGGAAAGGAGTTCGTAAGCCACTCTGAGACTCCTTTGGGTAGTGAAGGGGTATAAATCCAATATGTTCTTCTTCTCGTGGTCCAGGCACCTCAGCTTCCGGTGCCTCCACCTGCAGGCAATGGGCATGGAGGCGGAGGCTGTGCGGCTGGAGCGCTTGGCAATGTTCCCTCTAAGCTGTGGAGTCTTGTGAGCAAAAATTCTACTTTGTGAGCTACTGGCATTAAAGTTGTGAGCAAGTGATTTGGCTCCTACATAAATTAGTTTGCTCTGGAGCTCTCCTTCCTGAGCCAAGACAGAAATGTGTGAGCTGGAGGCTAAAAAACTGAACTAGCTCACACTAACTCAGCTTAGAGGGAACACTGCTTGCTAGCCACTTCTCCCAGGCCAAGCAAGCTGGCGGATGAGGCAAGCAAGGCCTCTCTGCAGTCATGTGATCTGCTGCCCATTCATATGCTGGCATCACATGACTGGGTCCCTCGGCTCACCCACTGCTCGTCCAGCTCCATGGGGGGTGGCAGCAGCAACTCTGGGCCAGGTAATGGGGCTGGGGCTTGGGAAGGAGGCATTTGTGGAGACGGGCGGGCTGTCATGGGCATGGATGAGCTCACAGAGCCTTCAGAAACCACAGCTGGCTCCTCTGAAGCAGCAGAGGAGGATAGCTGGCAAGTGCCTTGGCTGTCTTCACACCTGGCCCAAATAAGAAGGAAGAACTGCACAGCTGAAAGTCCTCCTGACTCACCCCCACGTGTGACTCATTTAAGAGAGTGACTGCTGCAAGGCTTAGCAAGCAGGCCAAGAGAGGCCAGGCTACAAGGGAGACGCTCCGCTAGCCCAGAGTTCTAACAGGAGCCTGGCCGATCGTGCAGCTGGCTAATTGGTAGCAGCATTTAACTCCACACTCCGGGCAGAACCCTTTGTGGAAGCAACATGTTAGGAGAGGTCCTCCATTATGGGGGAAGGAGGACCAGTCCTGGGGTGGGTAGCGGTCGATGTATACAGAGAAAGCAAATCTGAATGAGAAATCCAGGCCCAAAGAGACAAGGTGACAGGGTGTCTGTAAAAATCAGTTGTTCTCTTTACTAAATACTCTAAAGTTTCGCACACATACAAAACATAGCAGAATCATACCATCAACACACAAGTTCCTTTAGCTATAAAGACAAGAATATAAGATAGTTTCCCATAGCTACTTTGGAGTTTGAGATAGGTATTCGCAAAATACTTGCCTTATCCAGGAGCTGTCTTGGTTGGAGACTAAGGAAAGGATCTCTGGCATTAATAGTAGCTCTTCCACATTGCTTTGGAACAATGCCAGCTAATGTGGGCATGAAGTCTCTGCAGCTGTAAGGCTGTGCAGCTCCAGAGAGTCCACACACAAAAGAGCCTTAAAGGAAAGGTGGGGGGGTGGGGGTTGGTGGCTAAGCCATGTGCAGGGCTAGTTAAAGTGTAGGGGCAGGATACTGGGTGAAGTGCAGAGATTCAAAGTGTGCTCTCTCTCTCTGCGTTATATTCCAGGTGGGGGGGGGGGCCCTAGCTTGTTGTGTCCCACCTTTTCTCTAAGCCCAACCCAAAGTCACCCTTGGGTTGGTTGCAGGCATAGAGGGGCCGTGTTTTCCCTAGGGGAGTGGCAATGTTGTAATTCTAGATTCTATCTCATGGACCATTTGGCAGGGTGTGAGGTGTAGCTTCCTGCATCTTCCTTTGTTGTGCTGATGAAGTTGGCCTCTCTCAGGAGCACAAGAGCTGTAAACAGGATACTTTGGTATTTGTTGTTCAGTCGCACAGTCAAGTCCGACTCGCCAGGCCCTCCTGTCTTCCGCTGTCCTCTGAAGTTTGCTCAGTTTCATGTTCGTTGCATCGATGACACTGTCCAACCATCTCATCCTTTGCCGTCCCCGTCTTCTTTGACCTTCAATCTTTCCCAGCATCAGGGTCTTCTCCAGTGAGTGCTCCCTTCTCATTTGGTGGCCAACTTTGGTATACAAATGCAGATTTAGGTTTCTGCCTTCCTGACATCTCTGTCTCTCAGTAATGGAGAATATGCAGCCAGAAGTTGTCCTTTTCTGCTAACAAAGAACTCACCATGTTGTCTTGCTCCCATAATCCTTTGCTGACCGTAGGTGTGTGTGTCAAGCTCCATTGACATAAACACAGCAGGCAAAAGCCTGTCAGGCAAACAGACAGAGTCCCAGCAGATGAGACACACACAGCCTTACCCAAGTCCAGGTGGATTTGTGAGCATATTTCATGGCATGTGTCCTTGTGTAAGCAAATATTTATTCACCAATAAGTTAATCTCCTAACAGTCCCCCCTTTCATAACCTCTTTATTGACGATGAAGAGGTGATGACAAATGATACCATCTGATATCGGGAAGCGATGATCCGGGCCAGTCAGGTCATGTCACACAACTGGGGTGACGTGTGTATTGGGAACCTGTTAAGAACACGTTGGGCGTTCAACGAGAGTCCAGCATCAGTTGGTGACCCAAATCAGAAGGGGTCATCACATCTGGTCCGGAACAGATTGTCAGGAGCAGTAGGAACTGGAGCAACAGGAACAAACCCAGCAAACAGGAACAGGATCAGTCCATAGATGCCATCTGGTCACGTCTGGATCGGCTGGTCACGTCTGATGTCACGTCAGGTGCCACGTCTGGTGTCATCTTTCTGGAATCAGGAACACCTCGTGCCAAATGGTGCTGACTACACTACTCTGTGCATGATTATGGGGTGTGTCGTTTTCTTAAAAATAACAAAAACTATCCTACAAAACAATAAACACCAGATTGTTTTCTGCTTAGACCAGACCTCTATCTCCAGGCAAGTATGAGACCTTGTCATGTAATCATACACATAGCAATCATGTATATACAGTAGAAATCAATGGTTAATTCCCTATAACCATTAGAGAAAAATTCAAAAAGGAAATTGTCAGGTACCTTAAAACGTTAACTATGATGCAATTCTAACCTAAGAAAAACTTATAAACACTTTTTCCAAAACAAGAAAAGACACTAATGAATTATTATTGGGCAAAGGAACAATAACACCAGTACCCTATTAAGATATAAAAACACATTCAAGCTACTAATGCATAAAAGTAATAAGAAAAATTGATACCTAAGGCATAAAAGAAAGTAAATGAACATTCCTAGGCAAGAGTCTTACTAAAACTACTGAACCCTTTTAAATGAAATGCACAAAAACCTAAAAACATCTAGCAAATTGGATATCATGATTCAAGAATTACAAGGCTTAGAAACATATCAAAAATAAAGAAATTCCTTTGTAAACTGTGGGTATGTCCCTGAGAATGAACTCATTCAAGTAAATGGAAATGACAACATTTTCAGCAGCTGCAATGAACCTGTAAACTTCAACGGTTATAATAAAACATTGGTAATACAATTATTTACAGAGAATAAATTTCCTCGGAGAAGCTGGCATCTCAAAGGTAGGATTCCTTCTTAGCGCACTCTGTTGAGTAAAGTGGGCATTAAGTCCATCTGGTTCCTTTTTAGTTAATGCAAAGTTCATAAAGGAACACCATTCCAGTGTTATTTCTTCCTGGTTATGATACAGTTTATTAGAAATCCTTTGGTCCTCTGTCTGACAGTTGGCAAGCACAAACACATCCGGAAACGCTCGCTCTTCCATGTATGTACTGGATGAGCTTTCCCGTTTCCTGGCTGGCACAGACACTTTGTCAGTCTACCCAAGCAGGAAGCAGATCTATTGCATATTAACACAAAATTCCTGTATATGGAGACAAAACTGCATAAAGAGTGAAACACCCAAAACAGCATATAAAGGTAAAAACACCTAAGACACCCCCCCCTTGGTGCCGGGGGCACTTCTGGTAAACATGAGATGAACCCTTTCTTCCCTTGGGCAGGTATCGAGAGGCAACCCTCCCATGAAAGTCCAACAAAAAGGTAGGGTCCATCATAATGACTGGTGTACCCCTAACAGAACTTGCTGAGGCATTGGTGGAGCGTGGCAGCGCATGCAAATGGGCGTGCGCGTCATGGTATATACACCATGGGTGTATATACTCAGAACAAAACCAAAATAAGGATGCAGGACAAAACAACAATAAGGATGTTCTGCCCTTAAAAAGCCATGCACCAGCAACAGTAGTTCATTGGTAGTGCCAGGCAAACTCCAAACCAGAGTAAAAAGAATAAAGAGGAAATCTCCGGGCTTAGGCTAGAGGTTGGCAGCTGAAATAAAAGTTTTTGCAAAAATACAGGCTCTGTTAAAAAAGTTGTTATGTTTGAAAAAGGATTTAAATTTTGGGAAAAGATTAGGATTTTAGATTAAAAGCAAAACTTAAAAATGACCAAAAATTGTTTCAATTCAAACACAAAACTTCAAAACTAATGCAAAAGTGTTAGGTAGTAAAAACAAAACTTGTTTCATTGTCCATGAGGGTGGAAGGGAATTTCTGAACCTTTTTAATTCAACCTTCCCAAAATGGAACAAAAAGAAAGAAAACATTTGATCTCAAAAAAAATGAGAAGGGGGGGGGGGTTCTGGCCCAGCCCTTCACAAAAGGTTGAAGTTTGAGATAAGTTTGGTTCTATTCCCTTTGCTGCAAGGG